GTTTGAGTGTGAGTGTGTGTGTGTGTGTGTGTGTGAGTGTGTACCTGAGTTGAGCGGCGGGCATGGCTGGCACGGCTCTCCGTAAGCATACTCCACACTGGCGCAGCAGCACTCAGATTTGGTCACAGCGCCGAAGAATGGTCGCACACACTGACCACGCTTATATCCTCCGTAACACGTGCTGCGCATGTGTGTGTCTGCAGGAGAGCAGAACAGTCCTCAGCGTCGCATTTCAACAACAACATGCCGTGATAAACAACCATTGACTAAATGACTGCAGAACACCAGATCAACACTCAGAACAACAAACAAACCCTTAATGAGAACAACAAACCCTGTGTGTGTGTGTGTGTGTGTGTGGCTGCACTCACCTACGCAGACGCGTCCGTCGAGCCCCACGGCGAGTCCCGGCATACACTCGCAGCGGAACGATCCCTCGGTGTTGACGCAGCGACCGTTCATACACATGCCAGGAACCTCACACTCGTCCACATCTGACACAAACACACACAGAACACACGACGCTACACACACGTCTGCACACATGATGAGTGTCAACACAACACCTCAGACCTCAGTTTATGCTGTTTGAGCATAAACAATATCTGCAAAGTTACGAAGGTGAAAGTTCAATGCAAACGGAGATATTGTCTTTTAAAATTCTGGCAGTTTAATGCCTACAAAAACGGCACAAGAAAAGATCAGCGCGTTTCTCAGAGAAGGGACAGAGCGGTGTGGAATAAAGGTAAATTATGTGAAAAATAATGTGTTTTTTTAAAAACGAAGCATTAACACATTGTTAGACTGCACCCCATAAACACAATCAAGCCTAGAAAAAAACAGTCAACCACCTCTTTAAGGGAACATGCAAACATTATGAGAATGTTATTTTTAAATGTTCTCTGGATGTTTTGTAACAAACAGTAACATTTAAAAAAAACATTAGATGAGTATCTAAGTATAAATAATTGTGCTAACATTTTGGGACCATTATTAAAGACCAGATAACTCTGAACAAACATTCAAACATTCTACATTCAAACCCTAACGCTCCATGTTATCTGGGATGCTCTTTACTACATAATTAAAATGAACAATAGTAAGCGTCTAAAACACATTAAAGTATCATATATGACTTGTTTGAAAATGAGTCTGATTTCTGGATCTGCTGGATTCATCTGCTTTTATCGTACAAGAAAGAGCTGCTAAACATCTGTTCATGAAGTCAAAACTTTGATTTTTGAGTGAACTACTCCTTTAATGTGAGATCAGTAATACCCATAATTCATCTGAGCTCAGACTGAAGCTGAGAGCAATCAGTGTGATCAACAGTGTGTGTGAGTGTGTGTGTGTGTGTGTGTGTGTGAGTGTGAGTGGCTTTCTGTGTTCTAGACTCATTCCTCTTGAGACTATACAAATCATTAATGAGCAAGTACATCATATGCATGACTTCAGATGTGTGTGTGTTTAGGTTTGTCTGCGCTTGTGAGGCCCAAATATGTGAAAAGGTCCACACTAATGTTCTGATTCTGATCTTTGTGTTTTGGTTTAGGGCTGGTTAGTGACTGTGTGTGTGTGTGTGTGTGTGTGTGTGTGTGTGAGTGTGAGTGTGTGCATGTGCGCGCGTTTTTGTGACAAATGAGGACATAAATTTGTATAATGACAAAGGTATGACATAGGTATTACAAGGAGAAGGTGACTTTTCAGGACATTACCCCATGTCCCCACTTTTCAAAACGCTTATAAATCACACAGAATGGAGTGTATTGAAAGTCTGAAATAGCACAAAGTTTCCTGTGAGGGGTAGGTTTAGGGGTAGGGTTGGTGTAGGGCAATAGCACATACAGTTTGTACAGTATAAAAACCATTACGCCTATGGGATGTCCCCACTTTTCACAAAAACAAACCTGTGTGTGTGTGTGTGATGTGTGTGTGTGTGTGTGTGTGTGTACTTACCCACACAGAACCGTCCAGTACCATCTAACAAGTATCCAGGTTTGCAGATGCACTTGAAGCTGCCATCCTCATTGATGCACATGCCGTTCAGACAGATGTTCCTTATCAAACACTCATCAGTGTCTGCAACACACACAAACACTTCAACAGAGTTCATACAAGCATCTCCTCATGCATATCCAGCACTTTTTCTAGCACCAATCTTTTCAAGGACTTACATATAATGCCTGTTTTCTGAATTGACTTTTTATTTCTAACATTCTCTTTGCATATTATATTCCCTTTGAAAAAATATAAACAGAACTAAATATGCAAAAAGAATACAGACTAAGAGGCCGTTCAGACAGAACACGCTTTTGCTTTGAAAAACACAAGACGCAGGAAGTGCAATGGGGGAAAAACACAAGGTATCGAGACTTTTTATAAAAATTTAACTTATTTTAACTTGAACGCTATGTGCTATGTACCATGCAGAATTTGACGCGCTACATGTAAACAATATTCTTTGTTGTATTTTCCTGTCAAAATAACGGCGTTTCTTTGGAATTCTTCAGCTTTTAAGAACTGCCGGTTTCTCCAGTAGTGGGCGGAGCTAATGCGCAAACTGCAAACTCATTGGCTGGCGCTCACCTATTATCGTCCCTGTTTTGATTTCAGCAAAGAGGGTTGTACCGTAATGCCTAATTGTGTACAGTTGTGTGATAAGAAAACCTGTTTGGAAACAATCAGTATTTTTGCATTTCTGCAGTGAAGATTACCCCACAGCACCACCTAGCATCCAATCAGTGGTAATACAGATATAAATTAAGCGTATCGCGTTAGTTCTGGCAGGTCACGCGAGTCAAGCTTGCATCGGCTGACTCTCAGCTGATCACATCTACCTATAGGAATACGACACCTATCACGGCATTCCTACATAAGCTCTATTCACTATTATTCAGCAGCTTTTTCGCATGCTCAGGAGCAAATTACCCTCCTCCATCCCCAGCTCCTCCTTTTGCCACAGTCAGGACCTGGCTTTCTGATATTCCTTGTTGAATCAGACTCCTTTTATCTTGAATAATGTGTTACACTTAAATATCATTAAGTACATTAATTTGGCGCTTGCCCGCCAAAGACAAGTTTTTTACGGCTTTTCGTGTTTTCACTGTTATACACTCGGGGGCGCTATTACGCATCTTCTGAACGAGTACAAAACCTCCCGAACAAAAACACACGTGAACAGGACGGAAAAACGAGCGATCTCTTATGTAAACAGATGCATATGAAAAATAATGCGATCATCAGCAATAGACAGCATATAAATGAAAACTGCATAATGTTACGGAGTAAAATATTGATCCGGGAAGTGGTATATGTCTGTGCAAGATTTGGAGGTGTTGATGGAAGCGATTTACTGGATTTATGCTTTGATAATCGAACTGAATATTATCCAGATGTAGTTTTTTATAAAAATTTAATTTTCTCACCTTTTTGCTCAAAATTATGCATTTTTTATGAAACCTACCTATATTCAAGTGTTCAAATTTTTTTGTTTAAAAGTAGAGGCTCTGATCTTTATTTTGGTGATTTGCATATTCAAATATTCATACAGCTAAATATACTGGAGGCCATAAAGTTTTAGTGAAAATCATCAAAATCGTTGGCGGTGGCTGGCAACTTTTTTCAAAAATGCTGGCGGGGAAAGAGTTAAAAACAGACAGTGAACCAGTGTGAAAATTAAGACGTCTAGTCTTGTTTCTGTCACTATCGAATGCATTCATGTGCGTCTGTAAACTGCAGTGCATCGTGGGACTCGGCTGAACGTCTCACCTTGGCAGTTCCTTCCGTCAGCTGAGATCTCGAAGCCGGCGTTGCACACGCAGTGGAAGCTGCCCTCCGTGTTGACGCAGCGACCGTTGTTGCAGATGCGACCGTTGGCCACACACTCATCCAGATCTGCAGAGAGCAGGCAGACGTGAGCGTGTGTACGTGTGCACTAGATGCACAATACTGGATTTTTGCCGATATCCAATATGCCGATATTTTTTTACTCATTTTGACCGATAGCCGATGCAGATACCGATATATTTCCTTTTGTTTGAAAACAACACCAAGTATCTCCTTTGCAGAGATTAGAAACAAATACTTTTAAATTTTGGTTGTTTTTAACAAAAACTTGTTAGAATTAAATAAACAATAATAAAGTTCATTTATAATGACAGTATATGGAAAGCTTTGAAAATTACTATAAATCAACTATAAATCAATCACTGCATTTTTTTCAGACAGATGCTGTGGCAACATTAAAATAAATTTTTAACAAGATTTAACATTTGTAGATGTTCCAAAGCAAAAGAGTTGTAAAAAATCTTTTAGAGCTCCTTTTTCATAATCTGTTTGGGGAAAAAAATTACACATTAATAAATAAATCTTTGTATATAATAAAATTGTTTAATTTACAAGTGATAATCTATTAAAAAAAATTACACATTAATAAATAAATCTTTGTATATAATAAAATTGTTTAATTTACAAGTGTCATGTTTGTGATTTTTATTCATGTAAGCTACAGCTTCTGACCTTTAAATCAAAACACACTCGTGATTAAATAATTTGATATACACATTTTTATTCAGTAATATGTAATATATTTTTTCAAATGGATTATGAAAACTTAAATATAGGGAGCTCTAAAAGAATTTTAGTATTTTTACAGCTCCTTTGCTTTAGACCATCTAATAATGTTAAATCCACAATTAAAATCTTACGGTTTCAACTGCATTTGTCTGAGAGAAAAAAAACACAGCAGAGATTGATTTTATTAGTTATTTTCAAGGCTTTCAATGTACTCTCATTAAAAAAAGAACTTTAATAAAGTTTATTACTTCTAACAAATAAGTTTTTGCTCAAAACTAACCAAATTTAAAAAATAATTTGTTTATAATTTCCGCACAGGAGAGACTTGGTGTTGTTTCAAAACAAAGGGAAATGTATATATCGGTATCGGCATCGACTATCAGCCAAAATGATATGAAAAATATTGGTATATCGAATATCGGCAAAAATCTAATATGGTGCATCCCTAGTTCCGATAATATGGTGCATCCCTAGTTCCGATAATATGGTGCACCCCTAGTTCCGATAATATGGTGCATCCCTAGTTCCGATAATATCGTGCACCCCTAGTTCCGATAATATCGTGCATCCCTAGTGTGCACATGTGGCGTGTGTGTTTGTGTATGTTTACCTCGACACTCGGTTCTGGTGGCCGTGCTCTGGAATCCGGTGGGACACTGGCAATAATAGGATCCAGGGGTGTTCACACACTCCCCGTTCACACAGGGGCTCCGCTCACACTCGTTCGCATCTAAACACACACACAACACGTGATCAAACGCTCGCCGCAGACGCCTTCCACACGTCTGATATCAGGCGACGCACTGACCGATGCATTCGCCGCGGCCGTCCAGCCGGTAGCCCATGTTGCACTCGCAGCGGTAGCTGCCTGGCGTCGGCACGCAGCGGCCGTTGATGCACAGGTTACGAAACGCCTCGCACATGTTCCTGATGCTGAAGTTCTGAGACAGGATGACTGAGAGAGAGAGAGAGACGGGAAACCGTCAGGCTCAGAGTCTCAACACTGTGACACATGTATGGAGAAAAGTTGAGAAATTTGATAAACTAGCTGAGTTTGATCAGCCTCTTAAACCCTCGAAACCAGCAGCTCTCAACCAGGATTCACATGGTCTAGAAAAACCTGAATATATGAGGCAGGGTTATTACAGTTAACTAAAACTACAAATAAAACCATAAAAACATTTTGGTTATTTGAAATAAAATAAAATAAAATAAAAACAACTTTATTTCAGCTAGTTGCCAAGGCAACATTTCTCATTTTAATTTAACTTGATCACTGATACTAAAATATCACTGATATGAGGAAGCCTCATTTTAAAAGATTTCTAGACATGAAACATCATGGAAATTATTCAGATCTTAAAATGCCATGGGAATTTTATTATGAATTTACAATTTTCTAGTCATGCCATGCTGTAAAATATCTTATCAGGTAGAAAAAAATATAGTGCCTTGCACATCTGGAATCATTCATATCTGCATTGGATACAAATTCTGCAAGAAGTATGCAGGATTAATACATTTTTAGAGAGTAAAACATATTTTTTTAAAACCCTTATCCATAATTGAAAAAAAGTCATGAATTCAGTGGTTAAAAAGAGCAGGAACCCTGAAAAACATTCAGCTTCTGGAAACTTGTGGAATCCTAAAATCTTATTATCTTAATTTGACTTTAAATTCGATTTGTTTGAATCTATGAACACTCATAGTTTCTGTAAATAAAAATAAAAAAAGTAAACAAAAAACGTTGTCATTACAGCAGATGATCCAGAGGAAACATGTCAGCTTTTGAATATTATGGACGCCCTGGAGTCAAAGAGGTTGAGAATCACTGATCAAATGCATTTTAACTCTGACGCAAACAGGAAGCGACTGAAGTGTGTTCAACGCACGCAGCTCTTTCATCAGATCTGCCTGGCATTTGGAACAGATGATTCTGACACAAAGCCAGTAAGAAGTTACTGAAGTGTTGTTGATAAGAACAGTTTCATATACCAATCCATTTGTAACACATTTACAAACTGACAGCAAGGAAGTAAACAGGAAGTGAGGCGTGTCTTTGCCCTTAACAGCCCTTCAGTACAGAGCGCGGAGATGTTTGTTTGTGTGCATTACCAGGTCTGATGGTGAAGGAGGGAAGGTCAACAGATGTGGGCGGCAAAGGTTTTGGATCACGAGGGTAAGGATCTCGTGGGTCATCGGGAAAACCCGGACCAGGACCAGGACGAGGACCAATACCAGGACCCGGAAGCGGAAGCGGACCTGGACCCGGAAGCGGAATCAGATCTGGTCGGTCTGGATCAGGAACCGTGTAACTATACAGACAGAGTCTCTGATACTCCTCTGAGTAGGGAGAGAGAGAGTATTATTCAGTTTCAGTTTGTTAGTTAGAGTGTTACAATGTTACAATTTCTGTACCATAATAATTAGGGCTGCTGCAAACGATTATTTTGGTAATCAATTAATCTAACGATTATTAGAATGCTTAATCGACTAATCGTTGATTATTTCACTGATTAATCAGTAGACTTTGATTGATTATTCAGCTTTTGCAATTAGTTAAAATATTGAGTTATACATATGTGATCCTGGAGCACAAAACCAATCATAAGGATCATGAGATTTGAATAAATAATCTTTCCATTGATGTATGGTTTGTTAGGATAGGACAATATTTGGCTGAGATACAACTATTTGAAAATCTGGAATCTGAGGGTGCAAAAAAAATGTGTCTTTTAAATGTTGTCTTCTTAGCAATGCATATTACTAATCAAACATTAAGTTTTGATATAGTCTTTTAAATGTTGTCTTCTTAGCAATGCATATTACTAATCAAAAATTAAGTTTTGATATATTTACAGTAGGAAATTTACAAAATATCTTCATGGAACATGATCTTTACTTAATATCCTAATGATTTTTGGCATAAAAGAAAAATGTATAATTTTGACCCATACAATGTATTGTTGGCTATTGCTACAAATATACCCCAGCGACTTAACACTGCTTTTGTGCTCCAGGGCCACATATTCTAACAAATAAATAAAGGTAATTACAGATAATCAAAACAGTCCTGAGCTAAATCAAGCTTTGATGTCTGCAAACCAAACTATCACTTCAATTAAATATGTTTTTTTTCCACTAATAAAAAGATTTTATCATTAGCTATCTAATCTAGGGATGCATCGATCCGACACTCGTTATCGGTATCGGCTCCGATACTGGCTTTTTCTGCCGGATTGGGTATCGGTCAGATGAGACTGATCCAAATCCACAAGTGTTATTGTTAAGTCCCACGAAAGGCTTTTATGGTGCTTGTTCAAAATACTATTTCAATTGTTCAGTTGTTCTTAACCGTTTTCCATGTCATTTAAATAAAAGCCACGTAAAGCTGTTTGAATTGAACTGAGAGACTGAGAGCGCCATGAAGGATTCTCATCCTCACCTGTTCCGCGGATGGGACACATCTCTGGGACGCTGGATCCGGACCAGCATCCTCTGTTCTCACAGCAGCATTGGCTCTTGGACATACGTTGCGGCAGCAGGTTAGCACAGCGCCCGCTCACGATGTTGGCGTAGCAGAAGCCCGTCCGAGCGTCTGGAGCAGAGCACACAAACACAGAATGCTACATGAGCTACCATCATCTGATGCAGTCACACAATAAGTGCAACGAGGGTAATTGGGGTGGTTGCTAAGGTGTTGCTATGCGGTTGCTAGGGTACCCGGGGTGGTTGCTAAGGTGTTGCTATGCGGCTGCTATGGTACTCAGGGTGGTTGCTAAGGTGTTGCTATGTTCACTCGTTCATAATCACAAAATACTATTTGCAAATGAAAAACAATTAAAATACACAAGTGTGTTTGCACATTTCTCAATGTTTCTACATGTACAAACTGTTTCATATGATCATGTGTGCGTATTATGATTGGCTGGGTTAAAAACTCACATCTTATTGGCTAAAGAGAACATCTGTTTAAAAAACACTTGTGAATCGGTGAAACATCCTTTAGTGATGCACAAACACACATATACCCAGCTAACAGAGAACGTTCTCAGAACGTTCTGGAAAGGTTTTCTCAAAGTTATGATCAAACGTTAACAGAACGATCGTTCAGAGTTATCTGGCCTTTAATAATGTTCTCAAAGTGTTAGTACAAATACATTATTTATACATTCATGGAATAATTTTTCCTGAAACATTTTAGTTGGACATTCATCTAATGTTTTTTAAATGTTGCAACTTGTTTCAGAATGTTCAGAGAACATTCAAAAGTAACGTTTCTTTAATATTTGTAAAATGATACAAATGGAATGTTCCCTTAACAAATTTTTTTTTTTTTATATTTTAAAAAACTGTATGTTTTGAATGTTCATAGAGCTTTCAGAAATAATGTTTTCACAACTTAGAGCATATTTTTGTTAGCTGGGTACATGCGTATGTCACCTCGCATTGGGTATGTGGCCACACACACACACACACACTCGCGGTGTGACGGCACAGTCTATGTAATGACAGAGCATCTCCAGCTGCAGGAGTAACGCGAGGGAGCGAGCGGAGCGCGATGATGGAGGAGAAGAAAGGGATGTTTGGCTCAGGAAACGTTTGGAGTGGATCGAGTCATTGCGCACATTCCTTCCACACAAACACAGCCAACACACATCAGCTGAAGACCACTGACCCACTTACACACACACACACACACACACAGAGGACGGCCTCCTCTGAAGGCCTCACACACAAACACTTATTTTTACAGTTTCATGTAATTCATCAGCAACTGTACATGTTCTGCCAAAGTCAGTTCAAGTCAAATGACATTCAAACCCGGTTTAAATAAAACACTTACTAACAAAGATGAAACAATTAATTTTTTTAGCTGCATGTCATGTGACCATTAACATCAGAGACCGTTAACATGCAAACGTGTTACTAACTTATTGAAATATTAACTTCGAGCTTTCAGAAATGAGAACGAGAATGAGAAAAAAACGCAAGATATGGCTTTCTCAGAGTGAACTGATCAGATGGTGTGAAATGGGTGTTTCATTTCAGATCTGAATGTGAGTTTACAGTGGATTTCGAAGGATCTACTGCCCTCCTCCTTTAGGTTTTTATTACAACTTTAAATCTGAACATTAAGAAAATGTGAATAGTTTCTCTGCAAACACACACGGAGGAAACACACACAGCAGGAAGCAGACAGGAGGAGAGGTTAATGAATCAGACTGTGACAGTGAGAGTCGGGCGGACTCACCGATGCAGCGCGAGCCGTCCAGCGCCGTGTCGAAGCCCACCGGACACCTGCAGAAGTAGCTGCCGATGGTGTGGATGGGAATCAAAAATCAATTCCAATTCCAGAATCGGATACTTCTTGTAAAATGTAAATTTCAATTCCACGTATCAATTCATGTGTGTGCATCTTTTATTTTTAGCTGGCGAAAAAGGGGTTGTTAAAAATGTATTTGTCTTTGAATCATTCATTCAAAGCCGCTACAATACAAACCCCTTCACCATCAAACGCTGACCGTCTGAGAAAATCATACTAGTCAAAGCTATAGTGCAGCTACTTACCTGCACATCTTCTGAAGCACGTGTGATGATCTTCTGGATAATGACTGCAGCAGTAATTGATATCTACACTACTTGGGGTCGGTAAGATTTCTGAAAGATGTCTCTTATGCTCAGCAATGGATGCTCTGCAGTGAATGGGTGCCGTCAGAACTTGTCTAATATGTTTTTATTCAGAATTGTGAGAGAACTACATTTAAAAAAAAAAAAAGTCTCAATTTATCCAGAGTCCAGTTTTTGTGTAGCCGGCTGATTTTTATTCATGGTATTCAGCAGCAATTAAATGTTTTGCAAAAAGAGACACAAAATAAATATGTTTGATATCTAAATGTTTGACTTGGACACATTGGAATCGATAAGAATCAGAATCGATGAGCAGAATCAGAATTGGAATTGATCAAATTCAAACGATACCCAACCCTACCATTCACTGTAGAGGATCCATTGCTGAGAAAGTGATGCAATTACACATTTCTACAAATCTGATGAAGAAACAAACTCATCTACATCTGGGATGATCTGAGGGTGAGTTTTTAGAAACACTCAACGAGCTAATTTGGAATCTAAATCAAGTCTCACGTCACATTTTTCAATTCGAGACTCGGATTCTGGCACCCAAACTACTAAAGAGAGCAACGGGCCGTCATCTACACAACCCTGCAGCTGCGGGATGCCGCGTTTGAAGGGGTTTAGCTGTGTGATGTGAATTACTGAGCAATATGAACGTCAGATTTACTGTCAGACGACTGACCGCAGCATGTCTGCAGTGAAATACGACTTGACTAATAATGGACAGCAGTCTGAGTTTGGCTCTCGCTCGGGTGCTTTCCAGAGCTCTGGGCCGTTATTTCTGGGTACGGATCTCACACACACACTCGCTACTGCTTTAGAGAGTCTCACTCCAGTTCAGTAATGACCTGTTTGATCGAACACAATTAAAAATAAAACCTTTCTGCCCTGCTGTAAACACAGCGAAGCAGCCAGACTCTATCCGTCTGTCCTATAAACACATCTGAAAGCGTCGACTCTTGAGATAACGACAGAAGATTCAGACTCGCTGTCTAAACAAACTCATGTTAATGCGGCTGTCTAAGTGACATCAGACCACCAGGGAACCAGCACATCGTCTTCTGTGACCATCAACATCCATATACATAAATGATGAAAATAATAATTGCACTGAACTGTGGATGGAGTTTGATTAGATTATGTGAGAGAGTCAAAGATCTACAATTCGACTGTAAAACATACATGTTTAACTGAAGAGCTGAACTACACCAGATTAAACCACAAACACACTCACAGCTGAAGAGGACAAAAATACACGCAGATAAATACTCAGAGGAGCTTAGTCTCAGATGTTTCTCCAAGAAGACCTCAAGAGAGACAAAAACAGGCCCAAATGAGTCACTAGTCTTCATCTGATGAGAAATGTTTCAATGTCTCATATTGAGATCTGACTGCAGGTTTTGGTATCTTTCCAACTATCAAAAATATGTTCCAGAAACGTTTGCTAACATTCTCAGAGAGTTGTGAAAATGTTACTTCCGAACATTCAAAACATCAATTTTTTTTAAATGTTTAATGTCTTGATTATATACGAACATTCCATTTTATCATTTTCCAAAGACTATGAGAATGTTACATTTGAATGTTGTCTGAACGTTCTAAAAATGTTATTTTAAAACATTAGATGGAAGCCCAACTAAAACGTTTCAGAAAACCGTTCCACGAATGATGAAAGAATGTTGTTGTGCCAACATCATTAGGGACTTTTCTCAGGAGAAAGATCTGAGAACTTCAGTATAAGTCTCTGTTTGTTCTACATTCGCTAGGAGAAACATCTGAGATGTTAAAGAGATCTCATGTGTGTAGAGGCAAACTCCAGCTGCAGAGCTGAACAATGAGTTCTGATATGTGTGTGTGTGTGCGTGTGTGTGCGTGAATGTGTGTGTGCGTGTGTGTGTGTGCGTGTGCGTGTGTGAGTGTCATTACCTTCACATTTCTGTGTAATTTCGTTGAACTTGTGTCCAGCAGGGCATTTGCACTCAAATGAGCCCACAGTATTCACACAGTTTCCCCCCTGACAGAGTCCAGGAATGGCCTGGCACTCGTCCACATCTGCACACACACACACACACACACACAGAGAGAGAGAGAGGAAATGCTTTAACAACACAACACAACAGATGCACTCAAATCAGTGTGTATAATTCAAAACAGAACAACATGAGGAGGAAATATCAGCCCTCCGGCGCTCATGTCGCAACGCTTCATGTGTGTTTGTGGAGCCTGAGAACAGAGCAAAGAGTTAAGACATAAACAAATCATAATCTTCAGATTGTGCTCTATTTCTG